ATCAGTTAACAGCTCAGCTTCACTCTTCAATCAGGTGTCCAAAACATGCATCCATCCATTATCTTTTACCCGCTTCTTCCATTTTGGGTCAAGGGGGTCGCCGGTGCCCATGTCCAGCCATCACTGTGCGAGGGGCGGGGTACACCCTGGAGGGGTCGCAAGTCCATCACAGGGCCACATAGAGACAAACGAGACAAACAACCATTCACTCTCTCACTCACACCTAGGGCCAATATAGAGTTACCAATCAGCCTAACATGCATGTTTTTGGTCTGTGGAAGGAAACCGGAGTACCCGAAGAAAGCCCATGCATGCACAGAGAGAACATGCAAACTCCACCCAGAAAGGCCCCCGGACCGGGATTTGAACCAGGGACCTGCTCGCTGAGAGGCAGCAGCTCTACCAGTTGCACCACCGTGCTGCCTGTGTCCAAAACAATTGGCCACAAATCAGATGACAAGAGAACAAAGTCAAACATTGATCTATGACTTAGGACGTTCTGGTGCCAAGTGCACTTATGAACACCCTTATGTTTAAACATGGTGTTTGTGATAAACAATGACTAGCACAGAAGTCCCAAAAAAGAACAGTGCTCAGGTTTAGATCAGAGTTCCTCCCAGTCACTCCCTTCCAGGTCACACTGTCACTACCCAGGTGGGCAATGAAGTCCCCAGCTTGCGCACATTCCAGCACCCCAGATAAGGACTCCTAGAAGGCCAGATAATCTGCACTGCCATTTGACGGGTAGGCACAAACAACAACAGTCAGAGCCCATCTCCCCACCCAAAGGCACATCAAACGGGGAAAACTTCAACACAGAGGTACCAAGGTGGGAGGCTGAAAGTAGACTCACACCAGCTCAGAAAATATTATATTATATTATATGAAATATAAATAATATAAAATGTTTCATCAATGACAACTTTGTAGCATTTGCACTGCATTTTCGTAAGAAATGAAATTTATCTGGATAGTAGTTGTATCAGTTCTTGGTACTGGCAAGTACTCAAATATAAGTCTTTGTACTTGCTTAGAAAAAAATGCAATACTGGTAAATATGGTACTCCCTAATTTTTGTTATTAAAATTTCCACCACCTAAGAAAAATTAAGGTCCAAAGTTTGATCAGTTCAGTAACGTTTTTATTTCCAAATAGACTTTCTTAATCCTGAAACCATCTATTTTGTGGGGGGAAAGCCTGTATGATTTAATTTTTATCATTTTTTTCATAGTTTCTTCATTTGGCTGCTCCCTTGCTCGGGGGTTATCACAGCGAACTAACTCACACAAAGACTTGATAATTGTTTTTATGCCGGATGTCCTTCCTGACACAACCACAGACCACTGAGCTACCACAGCCCTCTGTATGGAACAGAGAGCAGCTATGTAGGGCACTTGGGTGAGAAGAATAGGGGGGATTAAGGGCCTTGCTCAAGGGTCCAGAGTGGGGCAAATGAAGGTGGAGGTAGGTCTGGGAGCTTCACCTTTCCCACCCACATTTTGATGTTGATGCTTCGGGGAGTCAAACCTGCAAACTTTCAATTACAGGCCCACCTTCTCTAACCTCTGTGCCACACATAATATTTTTCATAATTTATTCTATTGAATTAAAAATGTGTACACATCACATTATACACACATCATACTAATACAGTATATACAGGTAATCTTCCTTAAAACACAGAATGGACTGACAAACTATTAAAAAATATATGTAGTATTTTTTTTACACATTGATGTGATCGCCCCATTTCTGTCTGAAGAAAAGTGGACAGAGAGCTTTTAAATATCTAAACTGGAAATTCACCAGATTTTAATCAGACGTCAAAGCTGAAATTCTGGGTGTTGCTCTTTGAAGAGTCATAATAATCACTTTAATACAGTTTTCCTACCTTGTGTCTGAGGGTCCAGGTTCATTACAGATGTCTGGAGGTATCCCTTTGGACATGCTGCTCCTTATAGACAGACAGCTGGGTACTGGAGACTCTGCTCTTTGTCTGTGGTACTGACCTCTGAAACACAATCACCTTGTTAGTTCTCTGACTTGCTTATACAATCTGCCAGTAAAATCCACTTTACTGCTTCTTTACATTCACTGTTTGAGTTGACGAGTCAATGTGATGTTTGTATTTTGTTTCACAGAAGTTAGTGTGCAATAAATGTAACTGAGCTCATAAACAAGCAGCAGAAATGGTAAATGGACTAGAGAACAATTTTCCATCTGAGTACTCCACTTTGGAGTAAGCTGTTTGGCAGAAGAATCAGTTTTGCGTTGTGTGATTCCTTGACTGATGAAGCCTTCCAGATGGAAGGTGAAAAGTTTCCGCAAAAAAAGAAACTGTCCAGATGGCCTGACTGAAAATTGTTGGATTGTATACCTGGATTATTGAGCATGGACTTTTTTGGTAAATGGACTATACTTACAGTATATAGCACCTTTCATCAAGATACTCAAAGCGCTTTACAACACAAACTGTGCCCTTGTTTACCCATTCATACAGCAATCTACTAAATCTTTACAAAGACAATCAGAGCTTTATCACATTCATACACCGATGGGACACATCAGAGGCAATGAGGGGTTCATTGTCTTACCCAGGGACACTTCAGCGTGTGACTGCTGGTGGAATTGAACGCTTTCATTGGAGGATGACTGCTCTAACCACTCAGCCCCAGCTGCCCAGAAATGAATTAATTAGCATGCCCTTGTCACTTTTAACATCCTGTTTACAACTACTATAGATTAAACAATTTGTCAACAATTTTTTTTTTTAAATATTCAGGCGCTCATGGTGACCCTCGCTGTTCTTGGGGGCCCTAAGTAGCAGTTTTGTCCATGTGCACCTTGTGCTGACTGACTATGAAGTTGAAACAATATATATAAAATGTTTTTCATAGTTTCATGACGCTTTATATAAAACAATAAATGGGGCAAACTTGAAACTGTATATACCACATGTAAATCACATCTGAAATTTTGTAATGAATTAATTCTATCAAACTAACAAAGTCCATGCTCAATAATCCAGGTATACAATCCAACAATTTTCAGTCAGGTCAGTTTCTTTTTTTGTGCTGAAACGTTTCACCTTCCATCCAGAAGGCTTCATCAGTCAAGGAAACACAAAACTGATTCTTCCCCCAACAGCTTACTCCAAAGTGGAACAAACCAGTTATGTTGGTGCTAAGATGGTCCTTTTAGGCACGCCCCCTCCTCCGGTGCTGGCTCTCTCCCTCATCGACAGTCATGTCAAACTGGTTCAAAACCAACAAAGTCCATGCTCAATAATCCAGGTATACAATCCAACAATTTTCAGTCAGGTCATCTGGACTTTCTTTTTGTGTGCTGAAACGTTTCACCTTCCATCCAGAAGGCTTTCATTACTCAAGGAAACGCACAACACAAAACTGATTCTTCCCCCAACAGCTTACTCCAAAGTGGAACAAACCAGTTATGTTGGTGCTAAGATGGTGTCTTTGGCACGCCCCCTCCTCCGGTGCCGGCCCTCTCCAGCTGTCCCTAATAAGAGACCCCGCATGGGTCTATTTTAAAAAAAGTAATATCAGTGTTAAGATGTTTTAGATGCAACATAATTTTTCCGAAATGTTACTGGACCATTAAGGGATTTTACATTCCAGCTTACACAGTTAAGTCTACAGCCATTATTGTCTAACATCCTTAATGCTGGTCATACCTGAACAATAAGATATTATTGAGTACACACTAACTATCACAAGCTAGTACTGTCACGAGTTGGGGTGGATTCGACAAGCACAGACTCAGAAAAAGGTTTTAAAATGTTTATTTTAAACCGGCGGCGTCTGGCAGGGGGTTCTGGTACTGGTACCAGACCGCTCTGGGGGAGACAGACAGATTAGTGGCTGTAAGCGGACTATAGACTGAACAGAGTAAACAAGAAAAAAGCCACCAACTATCTGTCTCTGGAACCAGTCTGAGATGTGGGCCAGATGGGCCCCGGTACTGATCCGAATCTCAGGAGCCGGTAACATGCGCATGGGAGCACAGAGCAGCAGCACGCAGCATGAGCACGAACAGGTAGTGAGGCTGGATGGGCGAGCTGTGACGCTGAGGGGTTTAGGCAGCAGAACTTTATCCAGGGGCAGGCAAGGGTCAAAACCAGAGAGGAATGCAGCCAGGCAAAAGTACAAAAAGGGAAATCCAAAAATTGTGGTCAAGGAGGAAAAGCAGTCATCAATATGGTCAGATTATAGGTGAGGAATCCAGTACGGGGACAAAGACGAGAACGAGAGGTCGTGGGCAAAGCTATGGACGAGAACTGTGATACTGAGAGGGAACGCTGGATATCTACGGGAAGAACCTATAATTATCTGGTGCCGACTGAGGGGAAACGGGGAGCTTAAATAGTTGACTGAACAGGTGTTGCTCATGAACGTAGATTGCGGTATATGGCGGAGGGGGCGTGGCGCAGGGTGACAGGAGCTGAATGAATGAGAGAGGAACTCAAAACTAAAGCAGGAAAAAACGTGAATGATCTCAAAACAGGGACTGTGGTATGAGGAGCAGAGGCTTGAACAGATGGGGGGCAGCAGGGGCTGCTGAGCGTGACAAGTACCTGACAGACAAAAAAATCACCCAGACAGACTGATCCGGTAGATACCCGCCCCTCTCTCCTACATGATCATGGAGAGAACAACATATATCAACAGAAAATCTACACATCTGTGCTTATACTTAGGAACACTGCTCTAACTACATGTGCTCCCACCCACCTGTACACACATGAAAAAAAAAAAAAATTATTAAATGAATAAAAAAAACTGCAAACACAGTGAATTTCTCTATTCAAAGTGCTGATGCCCATACAGTCACTTTCCAATATAAATGAAACATACATAACCGCATCAAAGATCCAAACTTCAAATATTTAGTCAAACATAAACCTGAAAAGAAAGTCCCCCTGGGACAAGACATAAAAAAATACAAAAATACAACAAAATATGAAGTGGGACGAATAAGCAATTGGTGTAGGCTAATCCAACTTGAAAAGAATGCTGATTAAGGGAAGCCAGTCCTACAGTTTGTTCCCATCCTTGCTGCTTGTTGCTGAGATGATATTCTTTCTGACATAGGCCATGGCTTTATCTGGGTCAACAAACTCCTTGTCCACCTCATCGTGTGTGATGCAAAGCCGCACAGGAAAAAGTAGCCCTTAGTGAACATCTCGCCGACCGCAAAGAAGTCTCCTCACCTCTGTGAACGCCGCCCGAGCCCTGCCCACACTCAGTGCATAATCCAGTGTAATAATGATTGGTGACTACTTGAAGCAGAGCGGGCCATGACTGCGCGCATGCTGTAATATTTCCACACAGTCTTGGTAGTAGTGCAGTTTAGCTGCAATAACTATTAGCTTATCACTTGAGTTCTTCCTGCAGGGTGTCCGGTGCGAGTGGTTGTCCAGTGGCATATTGTTCAGCTGCAGCACCTCAGTTAGCAGATTAGCAACTGTTGTGGTCGAACTTAACTCCAGCATCTCAGGGACACCAAGGATCCTCACGATGCACATTGTTATATGTCCTTCTATGTCCTCGCATTTCTTTTTCAGCCCATTTATCTCATCCTTCAGTGCTACCACAGTGCAACGCAGAGCCAAACTTCATCTAACCAGGTGGAAAGTATGTCCTCAGCATCTTTAACACTCAGTCTCACCTGGTCAGTTTCTGTTCTGAATGCCATTATGCTGTTAGCCACCATTGCTTTCACTGCTTGAAGCTCACCTTTAATAAAGGAGAGATCCTCTGCAAGGGCAACTTTCATCTCCTTTCTAATTATTGCTTAAATTTCTGCTTTTATAAAAGCCAGTTGCATTCGAGCCCAAAAAATCTGATCCAACCTGGCCCCAGCCCGCAGTCATCATTTTCGAACCCCACCCGACCCGACGAATCAACAGTAATTACGTGTAAGAACTCGGGAAAAACCCCAACATTTTTAATTAGTTATTAACAGTCGGGGACGTGCAGCTGAATAAATGGGGCAAACGATTCGGAGCTGAGAGGTGTTTGTCATTTCATGGCCATAAAAAAAAATTTAAACCCCGTTTCTGCCTGCATTCTTGTGAATTACTGAGACATGCAGACGGCTCTGAAAAACATGTCTGCTTTGGGATCTCACCTGTTTGGGTCGTCGGCCGCGTGCGTCCACTGAATGCAGCAGCAGAATGAACGTCCATTTGGGTGATGGATCGCTTCCTGGCAGTACAGTCCCATCTGAAGCTTAACTGACATTTTTACCTTTTTCAAGGCTAGTCAGCTCACGGTAAAATGGCCGTGTGTGACTGGTGGATGTATGGCAGGCCATATTATCGTATAATTGGATCACACCTGATCCTGACCTAATTAAAAGCCCGAGACTGGCCCAGCCTGCCCATTAATCACATTATAACGGCCCGGCCTGGCCCTAATCCGGGTCGGTCCGGGCTGGGTTTCAGGTTAGAAATTATAGCTCTAGCCAGAATGTCCGACTTCAGAGTTGACACATCCATCTCTCTGGAACCTGGTGAGGGCGGAGCTAGGCTCCCAGCTTTAGAAGTACTGTAGCCCGAGGCGATGTTGGGTCCAGCGGCAACAGAACCCGTAGTCTTATATGTCTTAAATTTTGTCGCCATCTTCAGCTCTGGCTAGTCAATCACACGACAATACCAATTACTGGAGCATCCAACACAAAGGCAGCGAGAATATCCTAACTAAAGGCAGTTTTCAAGCAGTACTGTGGGAGCCCAAGCTAAAACACAACCTAGTGTGCCGCCATCATCTTGTTCCCAACTTATTTGATTAAATAATAAATATTTTCATCATATTTCTTAGGTTCTAATGAATCAATATATATTTCCCCTTTCGACAGCACACATTTCAACAGTAGTTTGGAATAGTGCAACAATAGCTACAAATGCTTAATGCTTTTTGGAAAAAAATAAGTTGACAATTTGACAAATTCAAGCTTATCAAGCTTGTTTAGCTGTTTGTAAACAAAAACACAAATTTGAACATATACTAAACAAGATGAATAAAAAATCATAAAATGTTATTAGAACTTGTTAACATGTTCAAAATCTTTCACAAAAATATCCAGATGCATGCTCAATAATCCAGGTAGAAAAATCTAAAAAAAGTTAAATCTGGTCCTCTGGACATTCAAAAAAACAAAACAAAGCAAATCAACAAAAAAATGTAGAAACGTTTCGTCTCTCATCCGAGAGACTTCCTCAGTCTGAGGTGCTGTATTCAGCTCAGTCTCTTAAATAGCACCTTCTCAGAGTGGATCAACCAGTTTTGCTGCTGCCAACCAAAAGTTCTCCAGTTTCTCCTATTGTTGCCAACCTGTACATGGAGGAGGTAGAAAAGAGAGCCTTGACGTCCTTTTCAGGGACACCACCAAGTCATTGGTTCAGGTATGTTGACGACACCTGGGTTAAAAT